AGGTAGATATAGCCTAGCCAGCTATCCCCCGTTGGTCCCTTAGAATACTGTCGACGGGCATTTAGGCTAAACCCCTAAATAGCGACGTAACACAACTCAGGACGAGAAGGTACTGCAAACATTATTAAATCATCTATAAAATATAATACCTACTTAAAATTTCAGACAAACTATTTACAATCTTCCTTTATATTGTTTTAAATCACATACCTATTACTTTTGCTGCTGTATACTGCCCTCCTAAAAATAATATATTTGTTGAACAATCTTATGTTTATTTCTCTTCGCTAAACGCAAAAAATACTAACTGGGGTTGTCACTTAAACAATTTTAAAGACATCTCTTTTAATCAAGTATCCATAAGTATCCTCTTATTTAGGCGGGTACTCACTTTTGTTTCACTCGACATCAGCCATCCACCTAATTAATATTAAAATCGGTTGTAATCTTATATTTTCCCGCCGTTTGAAACCGTTTTTAATTGAATAGTAAATGGCATTTGAATTTTTAATGTAACTTAATTCATTTATTAGATATAACATTTTAAAGTTAATAAACATGTATAAAATAGTACTTCTATCCGTACTAATACGGATAGATAATTATTTTTTTATGATATTTGCAGATACGCAGCATTTATTATCAATGGTAGTAAGGCACATTGTTGATATATTTACACCAACTGGCAATACAGAAAGCATAAACAATAAACACTGTGTCTGTGATAGCGACGTCATAAATAACCAATAAGCTACCTGTATTTGTAATCATTCATGTATTATACAAGTACAATATACATTGTATATTAATTAAAAATTTGAAACTTTAAATGTTTATATCTAATAAACTAATAAAGTTATACTAAAAATTCAAATGCCATTTACTATTAAATTAATAACTCAAACATTTTATTAAATTCAAAATATGTGTTCTCATTTAAAAAAACAAAGTTGACACTCTTACAAGTCATAAGGGATAAGCTTAAAAAGTATTACATAGCTTAATAATAATTAAATAATTCAAGAATAACAAGTAACTAAAAGTAATAAAAAAAAAAAAATGTTATGATAAAATAATCAGCCTGTACACATTATTACAAATAAATTTAATATATTGTGATACATTAATTTCTGGTAACGCTTATTATAATAAAATGGAGAACTGCCTTCAGATCATATTCAAATATCTATGTCCACTACATTAATTGTAATTTATTTTATTTTTGTATAGTGCGTTTGTACATTACAATAGACGTGTTTCATTAGAGTACACGTCAAACATTACCTTAATTTAAATAAGGCTATAGCAAATGGTTTAAAAGTATAAAAGGCAGTTTATGAAATAATAGTTTAAAATAAATTATTAATAATAATATGTTTGCATTATAGGTACATAAGATATTATTATTCAAACAATCGACATGATTGGCGAATTAATTCCAATTGAATACAGGTTAAGAAAGAAAGTCAAAAATAATTTTTTAAATTAATGTTGTTTTAGATATGTTTAAAAATATTAAATATCTGAACATAACATTAATATGCATTCAATTATTAACAGGTAAAATGATGGAACATGTACAACGGAAACACAAATAGAATTGGTTAATCCAAAACGAGCAGCTAAATTAATTAAAAACCATAAGTTAAATTTGTCGATCGATATTCTATAAATTCAAATATTTTAAGTACATGATCCTGTAAATATAAGGGTAACATAGAAAGTTTTTTATTATCATCCCATTCATTCGTTTTTGCTACGCGATCGAAATACTTAAGATATTTATCAATATCTGTTTTCACATTTCCCGAATATAATAACAGTTCCATAAAATTTTGCATATTTTTATAAATTATTAATTTATAAACAAAACCAAAATGATAGAAATTATTATTACGCCCAAACAGCAATTGACATTCCAGAAAAAAATATATAATAATAATAATAAAAAATTTTACTTAAATAATCTAACTGTAACTTGTGTACACTTTAGGGAAATCGACTTCGTATATGAGTGCCTTAAAAAAAATAGAAAGTATATCTCGAAACTCAATTGAAATACAAAGACCGGCGCCTCCACCATATGTTAGGGGCTTGATTGATACTTGAGGATCTTGGTAAAAACTAAGAATCGGAAGCTACCCGACGTCTGCCCAAATATTGTCCCTATCTCCTTAAATGAGTTTTAATTACCTGAAAGAGATACAGGCAATCGTGTACCTTAATTACAAGGTATCATAGTAAAACCAATACCTTCTCAGCTTCGCATCGAACCTAAAAAACAGTTGCAGCGCAAACAACAAAAAATCACGACCGCTACGGACGAAAATTAATCAAAGGTATTCAGAAGACGGCTAATTTCCAACAAAACGTTCGTCGTTTGACCAGGCGGTCTGATGGCGACAACACGGCTAGCCTTTAAAGTAGAGGTCAACAAATTTTATTACTCAATGCCGGAAAATGTTGAGAACAATTTGAATAAAAATAAATATCGCAAGGCGACAATGTATGTGGTGAAAAGCGCAAATGACGCTCAAGATAGGAAAGGAGCGGAGTGAGTGTACACACAAATGCCGTCCAAGAACCGGTCCGAAGTAGTATACAGCTGACTATCTCGCACGCGCACAAACATATCATAACATCTTATCACGATTATTTAACTGATAAATGCTGTCGCAACACGCATTCGGCTCAACAAAGATAATTTAGAACACACACACACATATATATTATATATATACAAATAGATAAAAAAAATAAGCAGATACTTTTTGACACGTTACAACTTAACTTTTGAAAATGTTCCGAAAATACTCCTAGCTTCAAATATATGTCAAATTAAAGCTTATATTTTGTACTGTAAGTTAAAAAAAAAAAATTTGTCCCGACGACTTAGCTTCTATGTGCAAATGGCTATTTTTGTGTTAAAATTCTTGGTATTGTATTTTAATTTATTTTAATATATCTTATAATGGGGTACACTGATTTTCATGAATATTACATAAAACTAATTGACATAGAAAATAAAGTTAAACTTATTTCAATTTTTTTTTCTTTTAAGTCGAAAAAATTAATTTTAACATTTGAATTAGCTTAAATTGTCAAATTTATTAAAAAACGAATGCGACGAACGTTTGCCGATTCAGTAAAAATCATTGCCCATGCATCATTGTAATTTTTCAGTAATTCTTTTTAAGTTAGAATTTTGCTTTTCAATAATTCACCAATTTTTTTTAACTAAATACTATCTACAAATTTGCATCGAAGAATTTCTTATAATAGTGATTTTAATCACTGTCAAATATAATTTATATTAGTCCCAACTATGCCACTCTCACACTGTGCCGCGACTCCACTGTGCTACCGTTTTTAAAATTTTTTTTTAGGTTCAATATTTATTATATATGAGTTTTATCTTTTTGAATTATTAGATTCCTTAATTATTAAAAAATATTTACATACTAATATATAAAATGTTTAATAAAAACTATGATTTAGGTTGTGAAAAATTTATAGTTACTATAATTTTAAACTATATTACACATCTATGAACAATATAGCTATATAATCAAATATCTATGTATTAAAACATAAAACTTGAAATCATGATAATATTTTTTCTAAGAAGTTATTCTGAAAAAAATTAAATAAGATATTTCAAATGGTGTTTTGTTATGAGTTATAAGAATAGAATTTACTAATAAAACAAACAATTAAAATATTCAGCAGATTAGAAGTTATTTAAATATATTTTAATAACTCCCCACCAGATTTTGACGTCTTTAATAACTTTTGATTCAGAAAATATTTTGCGTTATTTACTTTTTTTTTTTTTTAACAGTTTTGTACTATGTTAAATATATTTTTTTTAGTATTTTACTCAAATAATAAAATTAAAATAAAATTTAAATTTTTTTCAAAATGTAAAAAGGTTATTTTGTTGCTCTTTTCTTACAAAAAAATTTGATGGGTTGATAACAACTTTATGATAAAAACTTATTTAGTTACATGAATTTTAATACATTGAGTGAGTAAGTATTAAAAAGGTTGTAACTTAATAAGTGTACTTATCTTAAAGTTATCAACCTATCGGCACTATTTGTAAGAAAAGAATTATAAAATGAATAATTCAATTTTTTTATTATAATAATATCTCTATAGAGACAAAAAGTAATAAATATAATTTTAACGCAGTCCATAACGTTAAAAAATTTTATAAAAAAAGTAACGCAAAATATTGGATGGATCAAAAGTTATTAAAATTGTAAAACATAGTAGACCACCTGTATATGTAAATTTATATAGTTAATTTATTAAACGCACTACTCTCCATCTTTTCATTAAAATGTATAAATTAAATTGAATTTTTTAAACCAATTTAAAATTGGTTTATATGGTAATAAATGTATAATTTATTTTAAGGGAGATTTTAGGGTTAATTTTTAAAAGATTAACAGCAAACTGTTACAATTTTTTTACTAATAATTGGAGATCGGTCTAAATACAATTTTGATTGGTCAATAGGCAGTTTTATATTATTAGATTTGAAGTATTAGCATTTGAAGATTTAGAAAAGAGGAGTAGCGGTGTAGTGTATCGGAGCGTTCTATTTTAACTATAACACAAAGTTTTTGAATTCTTCTACGTGCTCGCCTAAAAATTATGACTACTAAAAAAGTAATAATATAATACTGATTATTAATCAGTCAAAATTCTATTTTGGCCCTTCTCTATTTAATAGTAAGAAAAAAAAAATAAGTTCCCATTTAAATTTAAAAAAATAACCTTAAAATCTATTATTTAAAATAAATCTTAGTTATTATCGAGGTAGATATAATGCCCATGCACTCAGACCTGTTGGTCCATTGTATGCTAAAATAAATCTTACTATTACAATAGTTTATAAAAATTAATTAATTTTAGTCTATATATTTGTATAAAAAAAATAAATCTTTAACGAATAAATGGAGGGTAGTGTGCTTAATAAAACACTCTGTATATATCAATAAATCTTATTGTAATTATAATGAAAAATAAATGTTTAACTAATTATTGCTTGTTTGATCAATAACATCATTTCTCTCATTTTTTTCTTTGCTCAACCTTTTCCTCGTTACATAACCTCTAACTCTAGCTTGAATTTTAATCGCAGCATCTGTTCGAGCATTATCTTCGACATTATGTTGATCAGATGATGAATTTACTCTAGTTTCATCATATTCTTGATCGATTGTCAAATTATTTCCAATTACAGTTGAAGATGTAACAGCCGGAATACAGTAATTGACTGAAACAACTGATTTTTGTTCTTCATCTGACCAGCATTGACTATTGTCATCTGTGGTGGTAGCCGTAAAATTTACAGCATTTTTTAATGATTGTCTAACCTGGTATCCACGAAATCCAGCTTGAATTTTGGCAGCAGCAGCATTAGCTGATTCTATGTACTTGCGAGTTCGAAAACCTCTATAAACAGCTTGAATAGTGGTAGCTGCATTTTCATCTGATTTTATTTCAGAATCTTTTATAGAATTCATTTTACAATTTTGTTCTTCTGAAATATATAAAACACTTTAATGAAATAAAAATTAAATTTAATATTAGACTGATTTATTTACGAGTTGTACACTGATTCCGAATTGGGTTTCATGTTTTTTTATCTAGATTTGGGATAATTATTAATTGGAAATTAAGCGATAATTTTCCAGAAATATCATAGAAAATATTATTTTTTTTTAATTTCCTAAAATTATTTCATGTTGTTTATTAAGAGTTGTATAAAATTTGTGACTATTCAACCAAGTGTAACTGATTTAGATTATTAAACTTGAATTATTAGTTACATAAATAATTAATTATAAAATTGTTATACATAAATTCTAAATAAACCTTGGTATTTATCGTTAAAAAATGTATAAGATTGTATTAAATCATTATTTCAATTTCTTCAAAATAAAACAATACTAAAAAAGTATACATAAAAACTAGTATTGGTTACAAATTTTGAAAATGTACACAGTTAAATAATTATATTTTAAATCCATTCTAAAATTATCTATTTTTTGGTTAATTGAAACTTAAACCAAATAAAAGTTATACTTGAAAGTTTAATATTTTTTTTTTTTAATGACACTCAAACTCAATTATAAAGATGAAGTAATCGGTTAAACTTGATGAAACAGTCCCAAACTTTTCTTAAATCTTATTTAACATCATGAAATCACGAAAAAAAAAATTATACTTTTTATGACAATTTTATTGTGTAATTATCCCTAAATTATCAATTAGTAGTTATTCAAAAAACTAGATATGATATAACATTTCTGAAGCTTAGTTCGGTATCAGTGTTAAAATTCTATATAGTATTCATATATAAATTGTAAATAACAGATAGTATTTTAATGAAAGAAAGAAATGTTTTTATTATTTGTTGTGCTGTGTAAAAGTAGTAATATAATTTACAAGGACGTATTTAGGGGAGGGAGCAAGTGGGTATTATTGTCCCGGGTGTCGATTTTTTTTTTGGAATTAAGGAGCGTTAGCATTCTTTGTAACCATAATACATAAAATATAGGGAGTATATAGAAGCGTCAATAGAAAACTGCCAGAGGCGTCAAAACTTTAAATACATCTCTGATAATATAACATATTATATAATATATCATGTAATTTACATTTTTAATTATATTAGGTTTAAGTTATAGTGTAGGGCAACAGAGTATCGTTTTTATTTTAACGCTATATAAAAATACAGTATAGCTGAACTGAATTAACCAACTTCATCCCCTGTTTTAAATTTTTTCACGACAGAAACTCATACATTTTTATTTTAAAAGTTAATTTAATTTTATAAAAATACATTATCATTTAACATTCGAAAGTTATCTTTAAAAATTACTATTAAAATCATTTTTTTTTAATAATCAATTTAGTTAATTAAAATAAATAAAATTTTAATTGGACGCTTTTACAAAAAAATTGGAGATAGTATTTTTTAAATGTAAACAAATATAAAATTAATCTTAATTTTTCGTTTATTATATTTTTTTAATAAAAAAAAGAAAAATTAAAGTTATTAAAATAAAGTTAATTAAGTATACTTGGTACTATTAAAAAAATATGAAGTTAATTAAATATTTTTTAAATTAAACTCCTCCATTCTTAAAAAAACTTACTTTTTAACGCTTGCCTAAGATATACTCAACAAATGAAATAGTACTTATGCTTTCCTAATTTTAATAATTTATATTAATAATAGTTTACAGATAATTTTGTTTTGTCAACCTTACTAATTCTTTCCTTTTTATTTATGCAATTTAGAATGAGTTTCTAAAAAAAATTGAAAGAATAAATGTTATAAATTTTAAAGAATTAACATTTTTAGAAGAAAATAAAAATTAGCAATTTCAAAAATATAAGTTACTGATATTGAAGTAATGAAGTGTGCACTACTAACTAAACTTAAAATAAAAAATTATTGATCAAATATTACTTGAATGTTTAATTTTATTCCATGAAATATTGTTTTTAAGACGATTTAAATATCACATAATATTCTTTAAATAATGATTAAATTTTAAATAATAGTAAAATAATATAAAAATATTTCTGAACTATGCACGAATAGTCCGTAAATAACTGTGATCTTTATTTGAAAGAACTACTATGCACGTCGGAAATCTTAATTATCAATTGACTTTGAATTTTTAAGGGTCAATAGATTTTATGAAGAATCAATTTAACAAACAGCCTAGAATTGTATAAGAGGACATAAATCATATTGAACATAGCGATAATATGTTTAGTATGTTTAAAATGAAAGCTTCGAAATAAGAATTTAATTACTGATGGCTATAACTTAAGGATTCTTATCTAATAAAAATATGATTCTTATAGTAAACTTAATAAATATACACATTTATTTTATTGTTTCGTTGAAGTTTTTTTGTACCATTACAAAACTGCCGAAAAAAGCCGAACGTGTACTTTACGCGCGTGTGAAAACCATCTAGAAATTGGGTCGGGTCGATTTTCTAATAAAAAAAAAATAAATCCAGCACAAGGGGATCGCGGCATAGTTGTGACGTGACATAATTCAAAATTTGGAAAAATTGTCCCTCGTTCACCGTAAATGGGGGCAATCTCAAAAAAAATTAAAAATTTTAAAAATCGCTAATTTTCGACATATTTTCAAATTTTTTACTTGAAAATACCATAACTTTTTTAAAAATAACTAAATCAATATAATTTTTTTTTATAAATGCATGATGTCTTTACCTTTCATTTGGTATATTATTTTTATAAATCTAACTCTTTACCTTCACACAGNACCCTACTATGCAATGTCTCCACTATGCCGCGACCCCACTGTGCTACCGTTTTATAAATGCATGATGTCTTTACCTTTCATTTGGTATATTATTTTTATAAATCTAACTCTTTACCTTCACACAGGGAGGATTCAAAATGACAATTTTTTCACAAAAAATTAACTTTTCAAAGTGTTCCTGAAACTCTGACACTTTTATATATATATTAAATTAAAGTTTATGTAATATACTTTACTATGAAAAAAAATATGCTATTTTTGTGATTAAATTCTATGTTTTGTATTTTATTTTATTTTAAAATACCTTACAATGAGCATACGTAGATTTTCATATATATTATATATGAATACTTTTATATCATTTATGATATAAAATGTTATGGTAATAAATTCAACTTTTTTTTATATCAAAAAATCAACTTTAAAGAATCAAAAAAATTGGTTAAAAATAACATTTTGCACTAATTACTTATAACATATTAAAAATCAAAATGAGTAATAATTTGAAAACAAATTATTTTTTTATATATAAATACTTATTTTTTACTAATTAGTAATATTATCAAATATTAGAAGCGATAGAAAAAGTCTAATTGCACATTTAAAACATTGCGAAAAGTTGATTTAGAAAGGTATATTTTTGTTTCTGATGAAAGTTCCTTGTAGTCCAGTGTATAAAACTTACAACTTTGTTATAAGTAACAAACATTTTTATTGAAAAGTATTGCTTCAATCCTTTTAAATTTTTATACACATTAAAAGTATAGAAATATACAACTACTTTATTATTTTTAAACAATATCCGTATAAATTACAATATTAAATTATTGAATATCAATTTCATATTAAATTTAATTACTATAATTATTATTTATTCATATATTATACTTATAAATCAAAGAACTGCTAATATGGATAAAATTAATGTGATATGGATGTGAACCGTTTATTATTGGAATCGTTATCCTTTAAAGTTAAATTTATTTTATACCCAATATTACTATAATTTTTTATTATAATTACTAGGAATAAAATAGGGAAAATGTATTTTAATTTCATAAACATTTTGATTTTTATCCTTATTTTCTTATAAGTAACTGATTTTCACCTTGATTTACGTTACTCTTTACACTAATAAAAATTTTTCTTCAACCACGAGAAATTATATTTAACCAATTTCTGCCTAATAAAGACTTAAAATACCATCATTAGTCACAGTAAAATGTTTGTACCGTGTCAGTGAGAATTTCCCTCACATTGTTTTTAAAATGAGAACCACTGATTGCTCGTAGTTGAACTTTCCTCAAATTCATAGTACCTTATGAAAAAAAAGGTACTATATGATATCATAGTACCTTATGATAAAATATACCTGTTGAGCGAATCGCTCTACGCGCGAGTAACGGACGGGTTAAATTCCACTTCTCATTTAATAACCGCATTAATTTGAGAATAAAACTGCTTATTTAGCTAGTTATATTACCGACTAATTAGGAATATAAGGCGATTTCATACGTTTTTCAAACTTTGAAGACTTCTCGCCAAGTAATTTGCGTTGTATTAATTTTAGAACATTAATAAGACAATCCCACAACGCGTCGCCTAAAAAGGTATCAAATTCGCAAAAGTTTCATACATTTTTTAAACTATCGATGAATTCCTGGATAGATTCATTTGCTCGTTGAACACGTCGAATAAATTTGATTCGTTCTGATACGATCACATTTGCATGTGCCCATATCTCTGTCTCCCATAACATCAATGTACCGTTTAATAGACATATATATATATATATATATATATATNGGACTTGTCTTCGTGGTGAAAATGACTACCGAATGCTATTTTTGTCTGAAAATTCTCGATATTATTTTTTACATTTTTAACTGTATTATGCTATAACTTTTTGAAAAATATATGAATCAATACAATTTTTTTATGAGAAATAATATTTTTTAATAATCCCTTTTTCATTCGACATACTTTTTCTTAATCAGGATATTAATAAGGAACTAGCAGATCATGTAGCTTTTGGAATAATACACCAATTTTTTATAATTAAACACTGTCTAAAGATTTGCATCGAAGCGTTTTTTTTTTATAGTGATTATAATCACTGTCAGATATCATTATACTTGATCCAACTTTGCCACGTCACCACTGTACCGCGACCCCCTTGTGCTGGGTTTTTTATTTTAAAATACCTGACAAGGAGAGTACAGATTTTCATAAATATTATATAAATAAAAATTAATATAGCATAGAAAGTTAAACTTATTTAAATTATTTTGAGGGGTCGCGGTCCCTCTGTGCTGGGTTTTTTTTTTTAAATATTATAGAAGAGAATAATCGGAGGCTGTAAGAACAGTTATAGAAATGAATGTTGAAGGAAGAAGAGGTAGAGGAAGAGCATAAAATATACGGAGGGATACTATTAAATGTGATTTGAGGACAGCTGATATGAGCGTAAATGATGTGGGAGATTTTGTCAAGTGGATGTTTAGGATAAAGGTGGCTGACCCCAAGTAGTTGGGATTAAGGCGAGGAAGAAGAAGAAGAAATATTTTTTTAAATATTCCTTTTTTTTAAGGAATAAAAATAAAATGTTCAAAATGTAACGATTTATCTTTAATTTGAGATATTTTAACTTATCATTGAACAAATCGGGTCAATATGTGTAAGTGGAGTATCACGTGATAGGACACAAAAATATTTTTAATTATTTTGTAAAACCAACACTTGAGATACGCATCAAAGATAAAAAAATATAAATAAAAAATAGTCTACTTAGCACAATCAGTAACACGTCACGCCTTATTGTGTGAGTACCAGAGTTCTATTTCGTTGTTCTAGGCTATGAAGGTTTGACATGGTATTATGCCACTCTTTGTGATAAACGGAGCTCCGCGACCCACGCCACCTTTATTAGTCGTTAACGTTCTGCATGTTAATGGTATTTTGACTGACCAACACCTTGTGCTACACGACACGTTACAAAGTCCAGCAAATGCCGCACGGCTAACGACGACCCGCTTCAATATACGTTGAAGTCATCTCCGAGACGCGTATTGTACGGACCGTATTGTTTTTACCGCTTGATAAAGATCGATCTACCTGTACCGTCATGTAGAAGACAAGAACAATAATGCGGTATATTATTTACATAATACTTATTTATTCAATTAAAATTATCTCGTTTTGATTACATTTTAATAAACAGTTTTAAGCGCTGTTCGGTACATAAATCTTGTGTCGTCTACATTATTTCTAGTTTAACACCCTTAAAAGGTTTCGAGTTCTTTCAAACACAAGCATAACTTTTAAGAAAGGACATTTAAAATATATTTAAAAGCTGATGTATTTTTAATTTTAATTCAACTAACCTGTTGGAATAACCAAACTAAATTTTTCATTTGTTTCTTCAAGTGTTGCTCTTGTTTCTTTTACAGGCGTTACTATTTTTTCTATATCTGTATCAATTTGTTCCAATTCTATAGGAAGATCCGGTAAATCAAAAGAGAGCTCAGTACCAATAGTCTTGTCTTCTTCTGCTTCCAATAATGAAGGCGGGGGAGGCCACGTGGAATCATTCCCTTGGGTAATCTAAATATGTATTAACATAATTTTAAACCTTTAAAAGAAGTATATGATAATTAAATTACTGTTTATATTTCATCAGTAAATACTATAGTGCTATAGTGAATCAATACTTTAAATGAAAGCAGCTTAAAGTTAAAATTATCTAAAAATGTTTATTATTTATTATTGTTAATAATTGTTTACCTAGTCTATGTTTTTTAAATGCATTAAATGAATTTTTGTACTTTTTGAAGAAGAACTATTATATTTATCCTTTTATTTTGTATATTCTTTTGTGTTTTATAACTTATTAAATACGACTATCTAAGTAATTGCATATTTTGAAGCCTTTGAAAAAATGTTGGTATTCTGTATACACAAATTGGGTGGTATGTTGTTTGCACGTCAATGCTATCACTTATTCAAAAACATGCAGTACTTTTTATTGTCATTTGAATGTAATATTTTTCTCAATCCCCTCGTTACCTTTATGTACCTTGTACTTTATAACTTATAACTCATCACCCAAAAAAATTATATTTTTGGATAGAGAAACACAATAGTGAGGATATTGACTTCTGAAATTCAAAATTTTTTTAATAAAAGATGTAGCGGGAGAGAATGCCCTGAGTACAGAAGGAACTAAGGAGAAATTACTACATTTAATATGTTCCTTTGAATACACCCAAACCCAAACGTTGTCTGGTATCACACTAACCTTTCTATTGATAACTAAAAATGTAAGTGCGCATAACTCGTTAAAAAAAAATTTAAATAAAAATTCGAAATAAATTTCATTAATTATTTCATTGTTAAATCTTTTAAACACATATTTAAAATAAAAGTTAAAAACTTAAATAAACAAAATTTTTCGCTTACATAACTTAAAAGTGTGGTGAAAATTACTATTAAAACGGAATTAGATTACTTTACTAATTACTTTGGTTTACTGGTAATAAAGTTACATTTTCCGTTACTTAAATAATACTGTAATTAAATTACTTTACTTTATCCAAAAAAAGTATCTACAATAATATTACATTACAAAATAAAAAATCAATAGTTAAAGTATTAGGGACTAGTTTAATACTTCAAGATCTTGGTTGGGTTTGGTTGGGTTGGGTTCAACCAAGAATCGGAAACTACCCGACGTCTGCCCAAATAATATCCCTATCTCCTTAAATGAGTTTTAATTACCTAAAGGAGATACAGGCAATCGTGTACCTTAGTTACAATAGAGTTAGACTATAAAATAAAGTTAAACTATTGTTTTATGTCAACGACAAAGTAAAGTTATATTTTAGATGTTCATTAAATATAAGTTATATGTAATGTACACAACGTCTGACCTGAATCCTAGTACAGTTGGTTAGTAGGTATATTCATGTGACACGGAGTTGGTTTGCTTTGATGACAATTGGCGATAGACGAGTCGTTGAATAAAACAAGTTAATTTAAAAATAAGACAAAAGTATTAGTATTGTAAAATATGTCTCTAACGGTCACCCAAATACAACTGTCCTTTGTTAGTTCGACGTCAGTAGCTCCGGGCTACAGACGAGTAGAATTGTCACATCAGCGAATTAAGTACATGGAAATGAAACGTGTATAATATAAGTGGTAAGAACATAGTAATAAATATTCTTACAAAAGTATATATCTAAATTTTGCAAAACTAAAATACACGCATTTTTCTCTTTCTCAATAGAAAACTATAGTATAAGAAGTAGAAGCAGTTCAGCGTCGTCAAATCAGAGCGTATCCAGGTGTTATCAAGAAAAATGGAAAAAATGAATTGTATTATGGAAGATAATTGTCCATTAAAATTTAAAATAGTTGTGTAAGATAAACTTGTTTCAATTGTTATAGACTCTGGTGCACTATATTTCAATTATAAATAAAAATTGAATTTAAAATTGATTTCTTTTAAACCCTTAGTAAATATGAATATTGAACTGGTTTCTATAATTATCGATTAACTAGTAGCTATAGGTAAATTATTATTTTTTATTAAAATAAATAAAAGTGTAAACATAGAAAATTTTTTTTTTTTTTTAAGTTTTTTACGATAAGAAGCAAAAGCTTGTTACACCATTATTGGTAGAGAAATATATTAAAAAGTAGTAAAATTATTGGTAAATCAGTAGAATTAAGTTAAAAAATTAAGTAGTACAAAAGTTAAATTAAAATATTATGTGAAACTTCTAATAAAGTCATTAAAGAGTATAAATCTAAGATAATATTAAAAAAAAAGTCCAAATCAATTTTTTATAAAGTTTCATAAAGCTTATTAATTACCACATAAATTAAAAACAAAGTCAATAAAAAGTTAGATAAACTGATAGAGTTAAAAATTTAAAAATATGTGAAATGTAGTAATTGGGGAAGACTTACAGTTGTAGTTTCTAAATAGAATAGTGATATACATAGATTGTAAGGTAACAATAAATAAATTTATTCAAGTAAAACATTATCCACTACCAAATGTGGAAGATCTGTTTACCAGTATAACAAATAATTCAATATTTTGTGGAATAAATTTATCTGCTACTTATCAAAAACTAGAGTTAATAGAAAATTTAAAAGAATATCTTACTGTAAATAATCCCCTTATAAACAGTGCTTCATTAGGGGGTTGACGAGGGGGGACGGAGCTCCCCTTCTATTTTATTGAAATGGAACGCTAGGAACGCAATTACGTATTTAACTATCAAACTGGTTAAATTATTAAATAAGTAAATCGTCAGTTCTTCTGGAGCATAATAGTAATATGTAAATGTCATAATATTAGTAGAACCTTATACAAAAAAACCCAGCACAGGGGGATCGCTGCAAATCTTTAGACAGTGTTTAATTATAAAAAATTGGTGGATTATTCCAAAAGCTCCATGATCTGCTATTTTCTTATTAATATCCTGAATGAAAAAGGGATTATTAAAAAATATTATTTCTCATAAAAAAATTGTGCTGATCCATACACTTTTCAAAAAGTTATAGCATTATAAAGTTAAAAATATAAAAAACCCAGCACAAGGGGGTCGCGGTACAGTGGTGACGTGGCAAAGTTGGATCAAGTATAATGATATCTGACAGTGATTATAATCACTATAAAAAAAAAACGCTTCGATGCAAATCTTTAGACAGTGTTTAATTATAAAAAATTGGTGTATTATTCCAAAAGCTACATGATCTGCTAGTTCCTTATTAATATCCTGATTAAGAAAAAGTATGTCGAATGAAAAAGGGATTATTAAAAAATATTATTTCTCATAAAAAAATTGTATTGATTCATATATTTTTCAAAAAGTTATAGCATAATACAGTTAAAAATGTAAAAAATAATATCGAGAATTTTCAGACAAAAATAGCATTCGGTAGTCATTTTCACCACGAAGACAAGTCCAGAGGTCAAATTTTTTATTTCCATAATAATGTACATTACATCAGCTTTAATTTAAGATATATATAAAAGTGTCAGACCTTCCGGAACATTTTCAAAAGTTAATTTTTTGTAAAAAAGTTGTCATTTTAAATCCCCCCCTGTAGGCAGGTTAAGGGTTAAATTTATAAAAAAAAATATACCAAATGAAAGGTTATGATATTATGCATCTATATAAAAAAGAATTATATTGATATGTTAATTTTTGAAAAAGTTATGGCACTTATAAGTAAAAAAAATTGAAAAAATTTCGAAAATTAGCGATTTTTAAATTTGTAATTTTTTTGGAGGTTTCCCCCTTTTACGGGGAACGAGGGAATTTTTTTCAATTTTTAAGGGTAATGTCTTCGACTAGATACGATTTGTGATCTTNTGTATTAGTCTTTGACTAGATACAAAAAAAAAAAATAATAAAATAAACACATCTTAGTGAGCTAAACCATTAAGAATTTCATTTCAGAATTTTTGTATAAATGATTTGTGATATTTTTATGTATAATTGAATCAAATTGATCCAGCGAAAACTGAGAAAAAGTGGCAACAGAAAAAAAAACATATTAGTAAAATTAATACCTTCTCAACTTTGATGTCTGTTTTCACCATGAAGATAAAATAAAGTCCGAAATTTTTTTTACCATTATAAAGTATATTACATTAGCTTTAATTTAAGATATATATAAAAGTGTCAGACCTTCTGGAACACTTTCAAAAGTTAAGTTGAAAAAGTTCTACTTTCTACATGCATTTTTGCTTATGGGCAGGTTAAGGGTTAAATTTATAAAAAAAATATACCAAATGAAAGGTAATGATATTATGCATCTATATAAAAAAGAATTATATTGATATGTTCATTTTTGAAAAAGTTATGGCACTTTTAAGTAAAAAAAATTGAAAAAATTTCGAAAATTAGCGATTTTTAAATTTGTAATTTTTTTGGAGGTTTCCCCCATTTACGGGGAACGAGGGAATTTTTTTCAATTTTTAAGGGTAATGTCTTCGACTAGATACGATTTGTGATCTTTTGACGTATCATTGAAAGAAATCGGTTTGGTGAGAGCTGAGAAAAAGTGGTAACAGACACAAAAAAAAAAAAAAAATTAACACATCTTTGTAAAATTAATACCTTCTCAGCTTCACATCGAAGCTAAAACTATTTTTTTTTTAATTCTGTATAATAAAATACAGTGATTCGGGATTGTAGTTATTACAACTGTTGATATTATTAAACAACACACTGGGTGCAGTAATATTATTTAAGATAACAATTTAATGTATTTTTACTTATGTTAGTATAGTACAAGGTCAAAGGGACACATTCCTTTTACGATTATGTTGTTTTACTCAATGCAGCCTATTGTATACATGTTTACAGTTTAGTTGTAGTTTTCGCCGTCTATCGAGTAAAGTGACCCGTTGCCGTTGTACATCTCTTATATTATATGTTTTGATATTTTATATTATATACTATTATATTACGAATAACTTCTAAATATTTTAATTATTACATAACCTATTCCATTCAACAACAACAATCAGTAACATGCATCCATTATAGTTCTGTAATAAAAACCGTGATATACCGGCTAGATTCTATCCAATTTATTTTATCTGTGGATAAAACTAATTTTCTTCCGCTATCAGTTATCTCAATGTTGCCCGTCGTAAGTTAATGTTGACTATCAAACTTATATCAGTTTTACAACGCTTATAAATTCAACTGGGGTTGGAAATGGATCTTTTGATAACTATTAATAGGTGTATGAAGTTGACAACAATCAATATTTTCTATATTCTGTAGTACCTACGTCGTTGTTTCGTGATATAGTCTGCCGCGAATTTCGTGCACAAATATCTATATTTAGAACACGGACTAATTATTAATCTGTAATTTAGATAGGAGATATTGAAGTTTTTACTGAACATGCAATTTAATCTATTGTTGATTGTTTACAGTTTAATTAAAAAATTATAAAGGTATAATATAGATTATATTTATAATTTTACTTTGGCAAATTTAAATTGAGTTTTAGGGGAAAATTCCAAAAATTTAAAATTGTAGACCCTTTGATTTTTTATTAAAGGTTAAATTTTAATTATACAGTAATTTTGTCTGTAAGATATTGCTAGAATAACGTAAAATTAAGGTAAATATTTGTCTGATTTTGCCATAATCCGCGTAAAAAATTCGTTAGTTCATCGATGTTTTATTCTAATTAAAAAAATTATAAGATGTTAATGTGTAAATTGAATACACATATTTTCATAGCCAAATATACTATTATTGTTGATTTTAGACTATATAAATTAAAGATTTTTCTAATACTTCTCAATTTTCAAGAAAAGCATGACTTTTTTTTTTATTATTTAAGTTATATATATATATAAAAATGATATCAAACGAAAGGAAATTACCTAAGGTTTCAATATAAAAAAATATTATTTTGATTTGTTAATATTTGAAAAAGTTATGGCAGTTTTAAGTACAAAAAAATTGTGTTATAAAGCACAGTGGGGTCGAGGCACAATGTAGAAAAGCATAGATGGGACAAGTATAGATGATATTTGACAGTGATTAAAATCACTACCATAAGAAACGCTTCGATGCGAATCTGTAGATAATGTTTCATTTAGAGAAATTGGTGGATTATTCCAAAAGCAACATCAACTCTTATTTCTTTGATTATATCTTAATTAGTAGTTCTTTAATTTTAAAATATAATATATGAATAAATACTAATGATAATTATTAAATTTAATATGAAATTGATATTCAATAATTTAATATTGTAATTTAAACGGAGAAATTATAAAAATAATAAAGAAGTTATTTTTGCTTTACTTTTACGTGTATAAAAATTTAAAGGGCTTGATACAATAATTTTCAATAAAAACTGTTTGTTACTATAAATAAATGCACTGTACTACAAGGAACTTTCATCAGTAATAAAAATATACCATTCTAAATCAACTTTTCGCGATGTTTTCAAATCTGCAATTAGACTTTTTCTATCACTTCTAAGTTTTAATATTATTAAAAATTAGTATTTACATATAAAAAATTCGCATCGAAGCTAAAAAATTGGCTATTTAAGCTAACTCAAATTTAAAAATTACTTTTTCGATTTTAAAAAAGTAAAAAAAATTTAATAAGTTTAATTTATTATGTCTTATTAACTTTATTCTATGTCAATTAAAATATATAATATTCATGAAAGTCAATATATTCTCCTAATAAGATATTTTAAAATAAAATAAAATACAAAACCTAGAATTTTAACACAAAAATAGCATATTTTTGAATACGGTAGCCATTTACGCATAGAAGATACGTCGTCGGGACAATTTTTTTTTTTAATTTTATAGTACATGATATAAGCTTTAATTTGACATATGTTTAAAGGACGCAGTATTTCCAGAACATTTTCAAAAGTCAAGTTAAAAAAGTTAGTTTTTGTAAAAAAGTTGCTATTTTAAATCCTCCTCAATGAGCAGGTTAAGTGTTAGATTTTCAAAAAAATGATATCAAATGAAAGGGAAATATCTACGGTTTTAGTATAAAAAAAAATTATGTTGATTTGTTTATTTTTAAAAAAGTTATGGATGTTATAAGAAAAAAAAGTGAAAAAAATGACAAAATTTACTGAATTATAAATTTGTAATTTTTTTGGAGGTTTCCCCAATTTACGGGGAACGAGGGATTTTTTTCAATTTTTGAGGGTAATGTCTTCGACTAGATACGATTTGTGATCTTTTGACGTATCATTGAAAGAAATCGGTTCGGTGAGAGCTGAGAAAAAGTGGTAACAGACACAAAAAAAAAAAAAATTAACACACCTTAGTAAAATTAATACCTTCTCAGCTTCGCATCGAAGCTAAAATTATAAGATGTCAATTTTTTTCAATTTACACATATTTTCATAGCCAAATATACTATTGTTGTTGATTTTAGACTATATAAATTAAAGATTTTTCTAATACTTCTTAAGTTTTCAAGGAAAGCATGACTTTTTTTTTATTATTTAAGTTGTCATACTTAAAAGAAAAATACTAAATATCAATTTTTTGAGTAAGTAATTTTATACTCAATAATATACTGTAATGACTATTTTTTTTTTTTTGAGTGAGTTAAAGCTAAAATTAAAAAGTAAACTTCTGAAACTTGTAAAAATACGTATAATGATTTTAAGTTTCCCAAGTTCTGTTAAAATTTAAAAAAACTTTTTAAATTTAAAATTTTTAGAAGAATATCTCAAAATTAGTTAATTATCGGAAATTAGAAATTTTATTTTTTTTTTAATTTAAAATTGCTATAACTTTTTTTAAATTTAAAAGCTAAAGAAAATTTTTAACATTTATACTTTAGTAACTTATCTTTTTTTTAAAAAATTATAAATAAAAATTAAGTATCTGAGTATAGAAAGGGTATATGAAAGCGATAAACTATGCATACAAAACAAATGTTTTCATTTCAATTTTGGAAAATGTGGAAAAATAAATTATATTAAATACAGGGTGGCCCACCACTCACTGACAACTTAAATAACTTTTGATCCAGTTAATATTTTTAGCTGATTTTTTTTTTAAATATTAGTTAGACGTTAGGTCTATAGCTATATCTCAATAATTAATTTTTTTACATTTTATTAAAAATATTAATTATTTTTAAATTTTAAATAAAATGTAAAAAAAAAATCTAAGATAGCTATTTTGTAGAGTAGAATTTAAGAAAAATTTTAGTAAAAAAATATCTTATTAATATTCAGTAGTAAATGTTCTGTAGCGTTTTGAAGTTTGTAAAAATTTGAATTTTCATGTACTATTTTACGGTTATAAACATTGAAATACGTATTAAAAAGAGGACAGAAGAAAACGCTATCTTTTCATGATTACTGTGTATACATATGATGATAATGTGTATACATTACAAACTTGGCATAAATACCATGATAAGAAATTAGATAAGGCAATTATTACTTATCACTCTCATTCAAAAGTATATTGAAAAGATAGCGTTTTCTTCTGTCCTTTTCTCAATACGTATTTCAATGTTTAATACCGTAAAATAGTACATGAAAATTCAAATTTTCACAAACTTCAAAACGCTACAGAATATTTACTACTGAATATTAATAAGATATTTTTTTACTAAAATTTTTCTTAAATTCTACTCTACAAAATAGCTATCTTAGATTTTTTTTTTACATTTTATTTAAAATTTAAAAATAATTAATATTTTTAATAAAATGTAAAAAAATTAATTATTGAGATATAGCTATAGACCTAACGTATAACTATCATTAAAAAAAAAAAATCAGCTAAAAATATTAACTGGATCAAAAGTTATTTAAGTTGTCAGTGAGTGGTGGGCCACTCTGTATATCTTAAATTAAAGTTTGTAATATAGGGAGGAGTAGGTTAATATAAACATATGTATTAATTCTCAATTCATTTTTCTTTTAGACTATTAAGAAGGTTTTATTGTAGATTGAAAAGTTGTGGTCCTAATGTTGATACCCACATAGCAATGAAATATTTCTACAATATTCCTAGAATATTTTGAAATATTCTCACAATGTTCTCAGAACATACTTTGGCAGCGAATATTACATTCTCGCAATATTTTAAAGGTATATTTCTAAAATATTATAAAAAAAATATTGTGACAATATTTTTAAAATGTTTTATGAATATATTAAAAAAAATGACCGATTCGCGGGATTCAAACCTCGTACTTCAAGTATTTCAGACTCGTGCGTTACCAATTGACCCATAGGTAGCTACGACTGTGACAGGATAAAAAAGGCTATTTAAGGTAGTTCAAATGGTTATTTGTCTGTTAAGTCATTAATGCTATTATATTTGTTTTAATAATACAAAAATGTAATTAGAGTAATAGGTAACTTTATTTATTTATATTACTCACTGATTCCAATTGCTGTGGTGGGGGGGGTAAAGAAAATTCACTGCTATGACAATCGGTTACATCCGAATAATCAATAGATGCTCTAGTAGTCTTCTTAGCTTGGTGTTCTTTTCCAGCACTCACTATTGCTGTACTTTTTTCAACAGCTTGCTCACATATTTTATTAACTGCCTCTCGTACACTTTCAATCATCGTTAACCTAAATTCAGTTTCGACGTCTAAATTTTTGACACTATTAACTTTACAGGAATTAATAAAGCCATTTTCATCATGTTCTAAAAAAAAAAAAAATAGGTTTTTTATTATTTAGTTTATTTGAATCATCACAAGATGTTATAACTCGACGCATTTTTATGATACCTTGATTAACTGGTAAAGAAGTGCTTCTCGGTATAACTATCTCCGTTTTAATTAAGCTATTTTCTCTGTACGAGAAACCTAAAATTAAAAAAATTTGGAATATTATAGTCTAGTACACACAAATAGAGAAAAAAAACACAGCACAGGGGGTTCGCGGCACAGTGGTGACGTGGCATAGATGGATCAAGTATAATGATATCTGACAGTGATTAAAATCACTATCAAAAAAAAACACTTCGATGCAAATCTTTAGATAGTGTTTAATTTTAAAAAATTGGTGGATTATTCCAAAAGCTACATGATCTGCTAGTTCATTATTAATATCCTAATTAAGATAAAGTATGTCGAAT